AATGACCTATCTTGAATTCTCTCAAAGGTTAATAACGTGACTGGTTTGTATAGGAAAAAAGGAAAGTTTGTTCACCAATTCGCTCTGAGAAAATTGAAAATTTCCCAAAGTTTCACAGCTTCAACAGCTTGGTATAGCTGTGATAGTTTGCTCAATTTTGTAACTGGGATAGTTTGCTCAGAAAAGCGTGAAAATTTCGCCATCCAATTCGCTGCATGAAATTTCTTGGAATTCATCGAAGTTTCTCAGATAAATTAGCTTGCCTAGAAAAATGGACCTTTTGGAGATTCATTTAGCTTGGTCAAAGAAATAGCTTTGAATTTTTCGAAGTTCTTTACTCGATTAGCTCGTCTAGCAAAATTTTAACTTTTCGTAAAAAAATTTGGCCTAAAAACAACTTGAGTGTCTTCAAAATTTCATTGCTTGAATGGCTTCAATAGACAAAGTATATTTTTTGCATTCCAATTCGCTTAATGACTTATCTTGAATTCTCTCAAAGGTTAATCACGTGACTGGTTTTTATAGGAAAAAAAGGAAAGTTTGTTCACCAATTCGCTATGAGAAAACTTGAACATTTTCCAAAGTTTCACAGCTTCAACAGCTTGGTATAGCTGTGATAGTTTGCTCAATTTTATAACTGGGATAGTTTGCTCAGAAAAGCGTGAAAATTTCGCCATCCAATTCGCTGCATGAAATTTCTTGGAATTCATCGAAGTTTCTCAGATAAATTAGCTTGCCTAGAAAAATGGAACTTTCGGATATTCATTTAGCTTGGTCAAAGAAATAGCTTTGAATATTTCGAAGTTCTTTACTCGATTAGCTCGCCTTGCAAAATTTTAACTTTTCGTAAAAAAATTTGGCCTAAAAACAACTTGAGTTTCTTCAAAATTTCATTGCTTGAATGGCTTCAATAGGCAAAGTATATTTTTTGCATTCCAATTCGCTTATTGACTTATCTTGAATTCTCTCAAAGGTTAATCACATGACTGGTTTTTATAGGAAAAAGGAAAGTTTGTTCACCAATTCGCTCTGAGAAAACTTGAAAGTTTTCCTAAGTTTCACAGCTTCAACAGCGTGGTATAGTTGTGATAGTTTGCTCAATTTTGTAGCTGGGATAGTTTGCTCAGAAAAGCGTGAAATTTTCGCCATCCATTTCGCTGCATGAAATTTCTTGGAGTTCATCGAAGTTTCTCAGATAAATTAGCTTGCTTGGAAAAATGGACTTTTTGGAGATTCATTTCGCTCTATGTAAGAAGTTTCATAGCTTGAATGGCTTCAATAGAAAAGTTTCAAGTTTTCACGATTTGATTATCTCTGAGAACAACTAGAAATGTTTCTAGTTTCGCTGCTGGGGAAATTTGCCAAGAAAAACTTTTTTTGTTACACGTTTAAGTCAATGAAACACTTCGAAATATTTTAGAATTTCACAGCTAGAATTGCTTGCTTAGAAAAACTTTCGCCATCCGATTTGTACTATGAAATTACTTGAAATATCGAGACTCGAAGTTTGAATGGCTTCAAAAGATAAACTTTAAGTTTTAGCAGACCGTTGTGGTCTAAGAAACAGCTTGTAGTACTTCAAAGTTTCTTAGCTGATATAGCTTGTATGTTTAATTGAATGACACATTTGCAGCCAGGCTTCAGCCAGCTTGACATGTTAAGAATATTACGCTATCGGTACATGTTTTAACTACAGTCAATTTATACATAACCCTGCTTTGCAAATAAGTTCAAGAACTACTTCTCTTTGCGAATTTTTATCTAGCATCGGTTTTCTGGCTAATTTGATGGTTTTTAAGCATTAATTTTCGAATTTTTGTTTCAATTTTTTATACACCATTTGTCATATCTGGGCGTTCGGAGCGTTTCTGTTGATACTTGATAATACTTCTTTTGATGAGATACTAGATTTAGGGCTATATGTTCTTGAAATAACTCTTGATTATGTTTTGTTAGTTTTTGTTTTTGGAGCTGAAGCTTCTCTTGAACTTGTTCACTGGCTAATGCTGTAGGGAATCAGTTAGGTATTCTCTTTCCGAGAAAAAAACCGAAACGCTTCTTATTAAACAATTTGAGTTTTGAAAGTTTTCAAGCTTGAATGGCTTCTTAAAAAAAATTTTGCGAACCAGTTTGATTCATTACTTAACCTGAAACATGCCGAGGCCATTTTAACATGCTTGAGAATTATACGCTACTGGTACTTATTTTAACTACAGTAAATATATAAATAACTATGCTTTGGAAATAGGCTCAAAAATTACTTCTAACCTCTAGCATCGCGTTTGTGCGCCTAATTGCATTGTTTTAATCAAGCATGTTTGAACTAATTTTTCTTTGCAATTTTGTGTTTCACTGTTTTATATACCGTTTTAAAAATCAAATCCGGGCGCTTAGAGCATTTCTTATGATACCTGGCAATAGCTTCTTTTGATGATATACTCGATTTAGGACTATACGTTCTATATATATGTCTTGATTTTGGGTTGCAGTTTTCGTCATCCAGTTTGGGCTGTAATTTTTGCGTTGTTTTAATTCAGGCATATGTGTTCAAACTAAATCATGCTTTGCTGTCTTTGGTTTGACCTCTTCACTTATCATTTTTTGAAACTCAAGTTGGTGCCTTTATAGCGTTTCATTTGATACTTGGTAATACTTTTTTTTTGAGTTTATACTCGAGATGGGCTATACGTTTTTATAAATACACCTCTTGATTTTGGGCTGCAGTTTTTGTTTTGGGAGCTGAAGCATTGCTCGAATTTGTTCACATTTTACTGCTGCATGAGCTCAGTTAGCTGTCCTCTGTCCAAAAAATTGATTCGGTTTGAGGTAATTTGTAAGTTTCGTAGCTTGAACAGCTTGGTCAAAGGAACATCTTGAAATTTTTCGAGTCGAGTTGGTTACTCGATAAGCTCGTCTAGCAAAATTGAAGCTTTTCGTAAAACATTTCAGTCGTAAAACCAATGAAAGCTCTTCAAAGTTTCGTCGCTTTAGTGGCTTCAATAGAAAAACTATGTTTCGCTTTTCAATTCGCTTCATGAATTTCTTGAATTCGTTTAAGGCTGAATCGTTTGAATGGTCTTATAGAAAAACTGAAATTTTTGCTCACCAATTCGCTTTATGAATTAATTTTTTTTATCGTTTTTTATCGATACAATTTTTATCGCTTGATTGGCTCAATAGAAAAACTATGTATTTCGCCTCCCAATTCGCTTCTTGAATTATCTTGAATACTTTCAAAGCTGATCGCATGAATGATTTTATAGGAAAATTTGAGGTTTTGCTCACCAGTTTACTCTATGAAAATTTTTTTAAGTTTCGAAATTTTATAGCTTCAACAGCTCGCTCAAAAAACCGTGAATTTTTTGCGAATTGATTTGTTCTGAGACAGTTTGTAACTTTAAAAGATTCATAGCTTTTGAAATTGGCATAAAAAACTTGAACGTTTTGCAGTACTTTTCAGTCAACCAAGAAATATTCTGAAATTTTCAAAGTATCATAGCTGGAATAGCTTGCTTGGAAAAACTTAAGTTTTCGCCATCTGATTTGCTTCATGGATTTACTTGAAATTTTTCAAAGTTTCATACCTGGAGTAGCTTGATTAGAAATACTTTCACTATCCGGCTATCCGGTTTTCTCTTTGACACTACTTTAAACATCAAGTTTGAAGCTCAAATGCTTTCAATAGATAAACTTAACGTTTTATCAAATCGATTTGGTCCAAGAAACAACTTAGTTAAAAGTTTCTAAGCTGGAATAACTTGTAATTGGAAATTGAGCTAGAAATTTGCAGTCATCCATCAACTTGACTTATTGAAGAATCACACGCTATCAGTACATGTTTTAACTACAGTAAATATAAACATAGCTGTTTTCTAAATAAGTTCTCTTGAACTTGTTCACTGTTTACTGCTGCATGGCATCAGCTAGGTGTCTTCTGTTCAAAAAGCCTCCATCCTGTTCCACGGGTTTCATGTGTAATCTAGACAATTGTCACAGTTATTAGAGGAAGTAAACAAGTTCAAAAGAAAGAATTGAACCGGCTAGGATGGCCTAAGACGAGCGAATTTAAGTGTTTACTTTAGTCGGTAGTGGAGTTTTTGGCCGGAAAAAGATGTTTTTGTACATTTTCAATTTTGTGTTTTAGTTACTACGGCTGGGTCACAAAAGGATCCTTACTGCTAGAGTTCTTCATTACTACCTTTTTATTAAGTCGTTAGAAATTGATTTCAAAAATGTGGTTATTTTTAAACATCAATTCAACATTTCTTCTACTTTTTTTCCTTGAGGGAGAAATAGAAAACTCAGTGATCCAAAAGGGCATCTAGATCCTCCATAACACCTGTGAAACAGAATGGAGGCTTTTTGGACAAAGGCTACCTAAATTAGCCCATGCAGCAGCAAGAAGTGAACAAATTCAAGAGGGGTTTCGTCTCCTAAAGCAAAAACTGAAGCCCAAATTCAATTATGAAATCAAGGGATTGTATAGCTCTAAATTGTGTATAGTATCAAGAAAGGTATTACCGAGAGTTGAAAATGGCTCTAAAAGCCTAGATTTGAGTTTTAAAAATGATATATAAAAAGGTGAATCAAAACATTGCTGCGAACATGCTTGCTTAAATAAAAACAATGCGATTAGGCTCAAAACCGATGCTAGATGAAATACCGCAGATTTGCAACAATTCTTAAATCTAATTGGACTGCATAGCGTTATAAATATCGACTCTAGCTAAAACATCTTGAGATAGCGTTTAATTCTTAAACATGTTAAGTTGTCGTAATTATGGCTGGAAATGTATCGCTCAATCAAGTATTATGTAGATATAGATGTAGAAGCCTTCGGCAACTTCACTATCCTATTTTAAAAAAGGCCAAAACCAAACACAAATTCAAGTGCTAAATGTTTTTTAAGAGTAATTTGAGTTGTAAGTGAAAGAAGTAGTCTAGCCCAGTAGAGCGACTGCTTTGATTTAAAGTAAACGTTTAATTTTGTTTTCAGATTATAGCATGTCGGCTGGTGCCTGCCTGAACTTAAGTTGAATTTCAATAGCTCGTGCAAGTGACATATCAAAATCAATTGCTAATATTTTCATTTTATTCAGAGTTTAAGTGCTCTACCAACACAAATCCGTCTCAACATATCAAAATCAAGTGATAATTGTTTATTCCGTATCGCTGTGTTGTGTTACCTTCTTCAGTACTATATTTATTTGCCTACAATTTTGCTCTGATTTGCATATATTAGTCTTTACAATAGCGAAAGAGACAGTCCACATTTAGCGAAGAGTTCAACCTCTTGCTTATTTTTACTGTACTTTGAGGGAATTATATCGAGATCATTAATCCCGGCCATCTTCACGTCTGAAAAGGAGAAATATTTCATCACCCTATATTGCATCGATTTGCAAGCCTGGTGCCATTTTAGTGCCACGAACTGAAAGGCACCCAACTTAAAGTTGCGAACAAAGGGAAGATTTTCCACCCTACGTATTCTTTTCATTAATACTCGCTCCAATTTTGTTCCACCGCTTACCTTCCCGTATTATAGACTACACAGCGACTGCACCCCTTGCCACCCGTAGTTTATCACTCGCTTCTTGTAAACCGAAGAATATTGTGTATTCAAGGCAAGATAAACATTTGCGATTCTTACAATCCCAACTTGTCTAGCTGTACCAAAAACCTGCTTAGTGTCTAGATGTTCCCGTAACTTCTACTTATTATTCGCACGATCAGATTACAATTCAATTTGTCTCTTATTTGGGCCCCAATTCGAAACTGGGACTCCAATATCCCCTGCCTACCAGATTTGCAATCAATCACTACACCATATAGCTTCGCCCTTCAAAACACAGCCGTTGTTGACATTTTCAAACGCTGTAGTTGACTGATTTCTGCGTCTGAAGACAGGCCGTTGTAAATAAAACAAGCCGAACCGTGTGCTAACTTGTTTTTGGTAATTGAAGCAATAAGTAACAGAACAAATCATTTTTACAGCATATCAAGTTATTTACGGTTGCTTTTTAGTATTCGAGTTGCCTCAAATTGTTTCGCGCAGTTAAAACGGAAGCATATCTATCTTTGTTTTAGCTGTTGCTGTTGAATTCTTTAAAGCCAATCCCTTCTCAGAGAAAAGCTTCCTCTAATTATCAATGATATAGAAAACTGTTTCCTGTGTTACCATCGTAGCTTTTGAGATAGCGCAACGTCTTGGGACAGCTCAAGGCTTTGCTGAGAATCGATAAATTGCGCCCACGCTACTTATTGTTTTTTTTTCGATATCACACTTTGTCTAAGAATATTTCTGAAATATATACAATACTCAAAGTTTTTAGACGCGTACCTTGAATGCCAGTTAAATTGAATTGGATTTGACGTTGTATTCCTAATCGATTTGACGGCTATTTTGATCTGACTTTACGACCCAGACGCATTTTTATTAAGTTGGACCCAGTTTAATTTGTTGGATACATTGGATCTAATTGCTGCAGGGTTTGTCTCGCATTTACCAACAGACAAAGTCGAGCAAAGAACTAGCTCTTCACAGGCTAATAAAATCGCCTCTACTCTCTTACCAAGGTATTGTTAGTTTATGTTTAATCTTCCAAATTTCCTGCCAAAGTTGTCTGGTTTCGTCTATAAAATGACGAGATTTACTTACCCAAAATTATGTGCTAGATAAATTTGGATCTTTTCGGTTATACCCCCTAAGTAATTAAGAATCGATAACCAGCGTATAACCGAAAAGACCCATAAATTGTTATGCCTATCATCGTAAAGGATCGTCACGTTAAGGCAAATTTAATTGTACAACGTTTAATTGTTCAAATCAATTTTAACTTATTAATTTTTAGCTGTAATTTGAATTAAGAATATTGCGTGTATCAGGGCGAACGCTCCAATTTTCCGACAGTTAAGGCAGTTGATGCATTGCAAATTCATCCAATGAGCCGAAAACAGCTATTTGTTTCAAACAACAACAATAATAAAAGCTCGATTTCAGAAATTTTCAATATTTCTTGCAATTTTTCAATATATCTAGGAACTTTGCTATGAAGGCATCTACACTTACCTGCAAAGTTAGTGCGGATGCCTTCAGCTTACTGTATTCCAAATTTTTACTTGCAAAATTGTGTCTATTTGTATTTGGTGCCTCTTTTGCTGAATGGGATTGGCAATTTAATAGCATATGTAGCTGCTTTATTCGTGACTAGTGTTTGTCGGTTGTTAAGCTTGCGTGGCTGAGTGGATAGTATGTGAGACTCAAAATCTATTGATTGTAGTAGGTCGCAGATTCGAATCCTACACGTAGTCGAGTTTTTGCTAATTCGAGGCTTATTTCTACTTTTTCTTATTTCACTTGGAGCTGCTTTTTGGTCGTTTTCTCGCAAGTGTTTGCGAAGCACAGCTTCGCCTCGGTGTCAAAAAATAAGAAAGCAAAATGGTCACATGTTTGGTCATCAAGAAAACTGGGTGATGCCTTCTGTTTAAATTACATGCTGACATAATTTAAGTATCGCTAGCGATTTTTTTATTCGATTAAATTCTGGATTTCTGTAGATCTCCTTTTAAATATACGTTATTGAATTGAAGCCACTTATTAAATTCATGTGTTTTTGTCCTAAAATTTGGTCACGCCTAACTTTGTGTTTTTTTTGCATTTTGAATTTGATTTTTTTTTTAATTTCATTCAAATTCATATTCTAAAAGCAAAGCAAATTCTGCTGTTTTAATATGAGTGCAATTGACGCAAAAACCGTGAATTATTTTGGTTTCATTTAATGATAAGTTCAAGTTTTTCCAGCGAAATAAAAAATGCTTCTACGCTCGGTTTTCTCTAATTTGATAACTTTTAAGAAACATGGATTATGATGACCCTGCTGTCGTGTTTCAATGAAAAAAAAAATAACCTGTCGAGAACAAGCGTAAAAGTTGTGCGTTTTAATCTTAACTTTGCGTTTGACGATCTGTTTAATGCATGATAAAAGAAAAAGTATATATAACGTGACACAATTAGCACATACTAATCCGACCATAGTCTTGCAAAAACTACAAATAAAGCTTTTTTTTCAAATTAGCGTCGTTTTTTCTACGCGGTGTGAAAAAAGGATCTGGCGTAAAACTATAATTTCTTGCATGATCGACAGTCTTAGTAGTACAGGAAAATTGAACAAAGATTTTGGTTGAAAAATTACTTCAAAAAAAAACAAAAAATCAAAAACAAATTTCAAAAAAAAATTGCAAAGAATTTTTTTTGAAGTTTTTGGTTCCCAAAATGGCGCTATAAACTCCAAAACATAATTTTACTTGCTTAAAATTAAGTTTTGTGGGCTTAAATTTAACATAAATAAGCTGATGTAAGCCTGCTAAAGATTCGCTTCATTCGCTCGAAGTTACAATAAAAATCAAAAATTTCAGTCAGTTTTTCTTGATACTAAGAAAACATTTTGAAATTTCAAATATGGTTCGAATCACGACTGAAAGGGCATTAGTTTGGTGTCTAACTCGACTCATTCCGATGATTATTTGTGATACTTGATTTTATGTCGAAACAAAAAAAAACAAAAAAAACACAAACGCATCCGAATAAAGAGTTCCTCCATTGTTTTCAAATGGTCAGAATTATTACTACACAAGCCAACTTGCGAGCCTAATAGTTTACGGTTCGTTCAGTTTTTAATTTCATTCGTACAGTTTTTACTTTATCTGAAAGTCGTTTTCCTACCTTCATATTATGGAGCAGAATTGGTTTGAAGTTTAATTCCTTTTTTTTCCTCTTTGCGACCTGAAAGCAGTAAATGGCGTATCATATGTTAATTTTTTGAATTGGAGTTTGGTTTTTGTCATTAGAAAGAAGTTGAAAATTCCAAAAAAAATTTAGTTGTACCTTAACAAATGTTCCTCCCTTGGTTTCAGTATATGAAATGAGATGCGAATGTAAGAAAACTGAGAATTCATTCCTTATCTTTTGCGAGGTGCAATGAAAGCTCATGATAAATGAATTATGCAATTTCCCACAAGTGCGCTAAAAGTTAAAAAAAGTATGATCTTTCATTTTGAAATTTTTTTTTGTTTAATTCAGTGGAAATAGCACATTATCACGGCTCCGTTATTTATGCCATAAAATTCACGTGAAGTTCTAAAAAAATATATCTGAAATAATTTCGAACAATTTATGAATTTTGTGACCGTAACAAACTAAACCGTTCCTGTGACCGTGGTGATATGAAGTTTTTTTTCGACCTTTGATAGTGGAGAGGAACTTTGTATCCGGGTGATTCTGTTTTTTTTTGTAACTTCAGATGGGGCCTTGTGATATATCAATTGAAAGCCGTTCCATTTGATTGTAATGGTAAAATGACGTTTTAAAAGTTGATGAAGCGCGAATGCTTTAACTCTACTCTTTTTCCTATATTCGCAACGTAAAACTATCAAAATTTTTATTATATAAATTACATAACTAAATATGAAAGTCCCAATCGTATATGCAGTCCTTTATTGCAATTGTTGAAATTTTTACTCAAAATGACGTTTTAAAAGTTGATGAAGCGCGAATGCTTTAACTCTACTCTTTTTCCTATATTCGCAACGTAAAACTATCAAAATTTTTATTATATAAATTACATAACTAAATATGAAAGTCCCAATCGTATATTCAGTCCTTTGTCGGGATGAAAATCTGGCGTTTAAGTATGACTGCTCAAATCATTTTGGTTTTCGAGATATGGCGTGTCTTATGATTTTCTCATTTTTTTAAAAAAAAAAAACATTAAAAAAAATTAACCGAGCTAACTTGAACTTCTCAACCCTATAGTGGGGTGCTGTCAGGGTAAATTCTGGAGTTGCAAATCTGGCGTCCAAGTCTTACAAATTATTTCGGTTTTTGATATATGGCGTTTTTTATGATTTTTTTTTTCGAAAAACTTACATGTAAAAAAATTATTCGAAGTTGAAATTCTCCGCCCTATAGTAGGGAGATGTCAGGGTGCCTTCCTGCTTTCATGACCTCCAAATCGCCTCTCAAGTTCTTTTGGTTTTCGAGATATGGTGTTTTAATGATTTTTTTTCATTATTTTAAAAAAACTAAGATATAGAAAAATCTAAGCGAACTTAAGTTTTCAAAGGGTGCTGTCTGGTTACACTAAGGGGTTGCCAATATTGCGTCCAAATAAGACTGCTCAATTTATTTTTGTTTTTTTTTGTGATATGGCGGTTTGTATGATTTTTTTTTCTTCAAAAAAACCTAGATATATAAAAACTTGCCGAACTTGAAATTCTCAACCCTAATGTTGGGGTTCTGTCAGGGTACCTTCAAGGGGTACAGTCAGAGTACAAATCTGGCCTCGAACTTTACTGCTAAAATGTTTCCTGTTTCCGAGATTCTCATGATTTTTTTCCAAAGGTTTCAGAAAAAACGTAGATTTAGAAACAAGTTATGGAAATTGAAGTTCTTAACCCAATGGTGGGATGCTACCAAACTTTTGCAATTTTCTTATGGTTAATGGCATTTGTCTGTTTTTTCACCATTTGTCCTTTCGTGTCCTTTAAAAATGTGTAAATGATGAATGGTTTTTGAAATTCAATTAGCTTCAAAGCCATTTTTTTCTTCTTAAAAATTCGGAAATTGAAGTTTTTTTCTGTTTCTCTACGTTCATACATTCTTTTCCAACTGTATGTTGGCTATGTTTTATGATTGTGGTCGAACATTCTGTGCTACTTACACAGCAACCGGCTATCCTTGTTTCTGGGTTGTCCTAGTGTAAATTTAGCGTTATTCTCTGGTCCGATCAAAGTTTTGACATATTTCCATTTGCGGGTTTATGGGTTGGAAAATGCCCTTCTCTGCTGTCCGCAATTAGACAACATCACCTCCCAAAGTTTTTCTTTTTGGTGCCATTTTTCAACATCCATTTTTGGCTATGCAACTTTCTCTCCTAAGCTAATTTTTGGTAAATTAACTTTTTTAATATATTTTCAATGTGCCTATTCCGATGTTTTGAGTTGTTTTGTATTATTATGAGAGTGCCAAAATTCGTTGATCATCAACTCAAACTAAGAAACTACAAAATCAACGAAATGTATTTTTTGTTTATAACCACCTAAAGACCATTGACTGTATGGGCAATTCCTTTAGCAGCATAAATGGGAGAAGCGATTGGAGTTTTTTTTCAATTATGTGTGGGCGTGGTTTGCTTAAACCAAGTCTTTGTTGCTTTTGATGTATTTGATTTATAATTGTGACGGTATTTTAGCAAATCAAGCCATGGATTCCCTTGAGGACTTCGAGGTTAGTAGAAATCAGGAATAATCATTCCTAGTCGAACTGTTATTTAGGAATTGATCAAAAATACCGTAAATACTAAGTTTTGCTTGGAAGTTTTAAAAATGATTGTAATTATATTGTGCCAAAATGATTTGAAAAGTTTCACGAAATGAAAATTTTTTTTCCTAGCCGAATTCTAGTGAAAAAGTAAAATTTGTCTGTACAAGTAATTGGCTCGGAAATTTGATTGCTCTTGAAAATAGGCAGGTTTTAAAAATTTTATGGGAGAATTTTGGTCTTGCAAATTTTGTAACCTAATATGGCTGGTAGAAACCCAATTATGTGGCTTGTGATGTATTCTTAGTTCATCTCATCATCTGTCTGTCGTCTTTATCTGGTTTATCATTATTGTCTCATGTTATATGGGTGTGGCTAATCATTTGAACCCCTTGGGATTTTCTGTCTGATTTATATTTTACCTTACGGGACTGACTGTAAAAAGAAACATTTGGTTGTCTGATTGGTGTCTATACATTTCAGCTCATTGAACAGCAGCTCACTATGCTTATTGAAATGCAGTTTGTCTGCCATAAATCGAAGTCATGAATAATTTGGGTCAATGGATCAAATAATTGATAGAACCCATGAGAATTGTTATGGGAACTAAACTGAGAAAATGTCTGATCAAATGCTATTTCATATTCACGTAACCGAAATTATTTACTCACGCCAGTGAAATGCAGAGGCATAATGTATAAAGGGCGCATAATTTGATTGAACTTGGCTGATGGCTCGTACTGATCTTTTCAGGACATCACAGAGCGCTGTAAACTTAAAATTGTGGATCATTGCGGGCTAGAATACCAATCTCAGCCCATTGATAACATAACTGTTTGTATTTTTTCTCCGATAAAATATGCTAAGACAGATAGACATCAAATTACTGAAAAAGATGAAATAAAGAAGAATTATTTTTAATAACAGAGACGTGATATTATTGAGAAATACTAATAAGTTGAAGTTCTTTTTTCTATCAACCCTCAAGATCCTTTTCATTCTTGTGAAACCTGTGGTTTTATCTGTTGCAATCTGTTCTTCTTTTGACTTGACAAAATCCGTTTTTTTTCTAACCAATTAAACCAAACTATCCTGTTTTAGTCGTCGGTTGTATCAGGAATCCGAAACGCTAAAAGCTCAATGAGTTCCATGTTCAAACAGCTCAGAAAAGGAGAAGGCTCAGCCATGACCCTAAATCCAAACGAAGTTGAAAATGAACCCTTTTTAGACGAGGCTGAACGAGCCGTTAACAACCAGGTCGATTACCCTACAAACGCGCCCAAAACTTTCACACCCGGCAAACAAAACCAGAATACAGTTTTCGCTCAGGGCATTGCCGGGATATTTGGAGTTCCGAAAAAACTGGAATTTAGCGTACAATTAGCTCACGGAAGCGCGGTGAAGAAAGTAACGAACTTCAAAAGTGTAAAAGAACTGTACGACCGGGTTGCAGAGGCATATATAGATGAAGTTGACAGCGCAGCTGAAATAATGTTTTGCACTCTTAATTCACATACCATTCACAAGAACCTCGAAAACCTACTTGGGGGTCAAATCATGTTGACCGATTTCATCTACGTGCATTTGAAATCGAGGGTCAAAAAGCGTGTGACAATTCATAAAGCTGACTCGGCATTAGGACTGACAATAACAGACAACGGAGTTGGGGTTGCGTTTATAAAGAGAATCCGAGAAGGAAGCATAATAGCGCGACTGTCTGATGTTAAAGTTGGAGATCACATCGAAAGCATCAACGACCAGAGCACTGTCGGCTGGCGTCATTTCGAAGTTGCCAAAAAGCTTCGAGCAATTCCTGTCGGACACCAGTTCAGCATGACACTTGTCGAACCAATGAAATCAGAGTTTGACAACATTGCTCCCCGGTCATCACGCGGAGGCTCAGCGGGCAGCAGCGGGAATCCTCTGGACGGGGCTGGAGACTCAGCTGCGATCGGAGATGGACTGCAATCGATACGATTCCGATCACAAGGCAATGCAGAGATGCAAGAGGAAATGCCGAGTGACTTTATACAAGCTGCCCAATTGCTAATCGACGACGAACTTGAGAAATATATGGGAATAAGAGACACTGCGCTGTCCTCTGATATTTTTGAGTTCTGGACAAATGCGGAGGACGCGGACCAGTTCGCGACTAGTCTGGACAATTGTCTGGGCGAAGGAATTATTCCGGATGATGCCATTTTCAGAATAGACGAAGCCCTCTCGAACTTGAAGTCCCAGTTCAAATGAGAATTGAGACGAATTTATAAAAGTGTTGAAAACAAATGACGATTTAGCACAATATTTGTGTGTGTTTTCATATCAGATACGTTTTAGAGACTATTTCATGTGTCCAATTTTTGGTTTTGTGTACCTATGATCCATACTTTTACTCAAATGTTTATGAAATCATATTATATCATTAGGAGTGATTGCAACTAGCTCGAAAACACATACCTACTTTCATTATAGGTAAAAGTAATGATTGGACAGCGGTTTGCCGCACCAAAAAAAATCTGTTAGTCTCTTACGTGCAAGAAGTTTTTATCAGTGTTGTGAAAATCCTCCTGCAATTCTAAAATTAGAAAAAAAAAAGAAAAACCGATTAATCTAAAAAAACAATAAAATTTTGTTGAAAATTTAAAAGTATTGGCTTCTAAAGAGTCTTGAGAGTTTATTCGATCAATAATTTTCACGTTTTTTCCCTTAGGTAAAAGTTGCTCGATGTATCAACCAGCATCTGGGCTTCAAAAAGTACAATACATAGGGGAAGGAAGGTTAATCTCATAATCTCATGGGCCTCAATGAGAGCTCAACCGACAGTTAGCATAATGCACTATGATGCTCGTTAAGCCGAAATTGCTTTAAAAGTATCACGCATGCTTAATTAGTCTAGATGAAAAGAAACACCTAAACTTGAAAAGTCGGTTCTTTTCAACTGACCCAACAATATTTGAATTTCAATTTTTTTAAAACTCTATTAACGGTGACAAAAGGAAATAAAATTTCGCATGGTGAAAAAATAAACTATTGTGAAGTGATTCGTTTTTCCAACTATACATAATAACATCCCACAATAACTCGTAAAGCAACTATGAAAATAAAATTTTTAAATATGGAGGGAAACATGGAAGAACCCGAAAAAACTTAAAAAATACAAGTTAACTTAAGAATTTATGAGGCGCCTTCGTCATTAGGTTTCTATATAATTCTATAGGTTGATAGAATCATTTTCACACAAGCACAGCTTGTGTTATGGTATGAACTTTCTTTTTTTTTCAACCTAAGTCGCAAAAATTGTTGCGATGCAATTGTTGCGATTAAATGTTCATTTTGATCCAGCTATTAAGTACAGCCAATGCTAAGGATATTAACACAGACTATTCTATTAAATAGCACTTTAGCTGCCAAGCATCATGGATCTGTAGCATAGAGGTAGGGAAGGAGACCAGCAACAAAATAAGAGGGTTCGAACTTGGGCAGGGTCGGATGTTTTTAACGAACTTTTTCGTATGCTAGTTGAAATGCGTCCGCTCTATAAAATGAGGCATGTTAGTTGGTAGATTTTTTTTCATCAAATTGACTGGTACTGCTAATGCGTCATAATTGGCTTGCTTCACTTAGCAACTATGTAGACTCATAATTGGCCTGTGTCACCTAAGAAATTTTGTAAACTCGAATTTTTAATCATTCAGTTTTTCCCAGTAGCGTTATCGGTCATACTTTTGCTTGAGTATGCGAAGAGATAATCAACGAACATTAGCTTCAAAAATCAAGTTATAAAACAAAAAAAATTTTGATTTCGTTTCTTTGATAATATTTCATCAAGAGATCTTCAACGGATATAGATTTTCAGCTGTCAAAATTTTATGTAATCAAATTTGAATGTTTTTATTTGCGATTAAAAATGGAGATAGACTTTGTTTTGGGGTGTGTTAAGGCTTTTTCGAGCAAAATCAGGAACCACAAATATTTACCGGAATGGGCTCATATATATTTTTTAGTCGTGAATTACACATTAAAAAGATTTTCAAAAACTTGTCCCAGTTTTTGAGAAAAACTGGTGTGAAATTTTTTGAGATTTAGTCTAATTTTGACCTAGGAAGGCGATCGAATAACGCTTTTTTATTAAAAAATTTTGTGTTTTTTAAAATCTTAGTACAAAAATTTCGATTTTACTATAACTAAAGCTAGTTTTGGATGTTTCACTTAGCGCTTGTTTGGCTAAAAAAAAAGTTTTTTTTAAAAATATTTTTAAATCCATTGAAATCCGTTTCTTCCTCCTTCTGACTGAGACATAAAATAGGTATAAGAAAATTCACCAATTTTTGCAGGAATTGCTCCTCGAACTGTAGTTACAAGAGGTGCTAGTCTATCGGAGTATGTGTGGGATATATTTCCTACACTCGGATGTCTAGGAGCATGACACATAATTAAGGCTGATCCTTTTTTATCTGAATTACAGGTACTCAAAGAAAGGCCAGTTTCAGTTATTTCTATAGTTGGTGCACAACGAAAAGCTATATATTCAGGAAGCTGGTCCAAATAATCGGCACGAATACAACGACGAAATTTTTCCCAATTGGCACCAAACGAAACGAAAGAATTATCAATAAAATTCAACAAATGATGAAAGCCTACAAATCCTGCTTCTTCTATAAATTCTGATGCTCCACAGAAACATTTAACTGAAGGAAAGGGGTATCTACTCATACAAAGTTTATAGTCTTCTGATAAATGAGTTTCAAGTAAACATGTGAACTGAATTTTGTCTCTAGTGATGTCATCGAAGAGTGGTTTTATTGATTTTCTTAACTTAATTTTCAACCGTTCAAAAAACCAAGAAGCTTGGATTTGTAATGGCAACTTCAAAAACAGTTTCTGGTAACCAGCAGACGGTTTTTGAATACACAAGGAGAAAAAAACTGAGGGCCATGCTGTTTCCCACGTGGTTATTTGCGATGCTGTATAACGAAAACAAAGATTGCACAAATTTAAATCTTGTGAGCCTACTTTTTTGCCATATTTCCTATGCTTGATAATTTTTCGGTCGATTTCCAAAACCATCTCAATTTTCAGTGGCATCCACTTAGTAGATATACGATAACACTTATCGAAATGCAGAGTTGCAACAAAATCAAAGACATTATCAGTTTTTTGAAAATCGAAATCTATAGCGTAATTGCGTGCTTTTTGGCCAAAACAAGATGTAAAATCAGAACTATACTGAACGCTGTTTCCGAAATTTGTAGATTTCACTGTATATCGTGCAACCTTGCACTGTGTTTTTCGTTCATATAGGGTTGTGTTTTCCAGCAAATTTGTAGATTTTTATTGAACATTTTTCAATTTCTTTTTTAGTATTATTCAAAATTTCTTTGATTGGTCCTGTTCGAACAAATTCTTTAGAGGTAGATGAACAATCATTACACTTTGGTTCTAACAAGACGAAATCATTTGTAATTGAACGTAAACCAAAATCTATATCTGTCTCCGGTAAGCAATCAATCTGCAGTATGGGTTGAAAGTGGTTCAATGTGTGGTACAGAAAAAAAGTTGGGGCATTGCTGTTGACAAACTGATCAAAGATAAACCATTTTTTGACAGCTGGAGATTCAACGAATATAACAACTTTAGCTTTAAAATTGTAACAAAAGGCAGCTATTTCAACATCCCCTCCATAAACACTATCGTGATGCATGTTTTCTTTATTCAGGTACTCTTGGATGGTAAAACTTGGAAAGCTGGGATTTAAGTGAGCCATTATTTGTAAAGGACTAAAAGGAATGTGACTCATTTCGTTACAAATGATTTGACGTAATTGTTGATAATAAATGCCTTGAAGTCCCGTCAAGAAAAAACTGAGGGAGCGAAAGAGGCAATTGCCATCAGGCGTTATATCTTCCAGTGTTACGGGCCTCAAGTTTGGTAACAAAGCAAAAGGGAAAAAAGTCAAATTGTGGTTTGCATGCAGTGTCATATTTTAGCCAGATATCCTTGCAATTAATGCAATTGAGGTTGGAAAAGAATCAACGCTATCATATTTGGTCAGCACTCGCTTCAAATGAATCGACTCATGTCCGGGAAAATTGTGTAGATCAGGCATCTGACGCATTGTGGTATCATCGATGCAATCCTAAATACTGTGATATATACTTAAAATAATTTAATATTTTTGAAAAACTAATGTTAGATTTTTTGTTGAACAAAATGCTCGCAATAAATTCTCTAAAATCGGAACCTGAGTTGAAGTTGCATCGTGTTTTGGACAAAAAAAAATCGTTTTCCTTTTTGCACAAAGCTGTTACACTTGTTGTGACCACACTGATTCGTGACCTTAAATATACTTTGAATGTAAATATGATAAGCTATTTTTTTCATGAGAAAAAACAAATAATCGAACAGATTTTGTCTTACGGATTTTCGTTTTCTTTTTTAAGATCCCATGATTCTCACAGATGATCAGATAAATTGAACCATAAGTAACATTTATTCTGAAGTAAAAGGTCTGATTTTATTAAATTGCACTTCTGGAAAGTTAATCAGATTTTATAACATTTAAACATTTTTGCCTGCTGTAATAAATTAGGTTTTTGATGATTGACTATTCCGCACTAAAACTTGGCGACAAATTTTCAATTCGTCTTGAATAATTTTTGTGAAAAAATTTATTGGTGAAACTACTTGGTTGGTAGATTTCCAATTTTTTTCAAATCAATCATTTTTAAATATAGAGATATCATTTTATAAATCAGTTTTAAACACAAAATAATAAATGGAACTGTAAACATCCATTTGACAAAGCAGCACAACTAGGTTCTAATGAACATGCTTAAGAAATGAAAAATAAATGAAATGATGAACTGAATAAATAATTGACAGTTTTTACATTATTAACGTTGAGTTATTTGTTTTACAGAGTGGAATTTTAGGATACAGATCCAAAATTGTCTCCAATTCTCCAAAGATCCTTTGCTTTTGTAGAGTGCTGGAACAATGTTTCTATTAAACTGCGTTAAAAAATGAATTAACAGTATTGTTTTATTAATTTTGATAGTTTTATTGTAAATGCATTTGATAATTGAAAAAATTGATAGGTCTGATATTAAGTTCTAACATCGGATAACTTAGAAGCTTACAAACTTTCAAGCCAATAGAAGCCAATTGCCGTTCAAATTACAAAAATGGTTTCTAATTTTTTCGAAGAAAACGAGTATATAAAATCTTACTTGAAACTCGCTGCATAATTTTTTGAAACACTTGACGGTAGGTCGTTTCATCCAAGTGTATTCTGGGATACTTTGAGCTCTTATGACTAAGGTTTTTACTTATCCGCTGCCCAAACCCAATAAACATTTGTTCTAACGATAGATACAAAGTTTCGTTCAGTTTGTCAATAGCTGCAGCCCCGGAATTCCTTTGTAT